ATTCAAAAAACAAACAAAACAAACAAAATATATGTTTTTCTGAGTTGTACTACTACTAATAGTTTCAAACATGTTAATCTAATTTGTTGAGTGCTTCCACAAACAACTTGTTCCAGAATAAGTGGTTATTATCAAGATACTTTACATTTTTCTATCTGTGAGCAGTACCACAATTGTGTAATACAAAATTGTGATACTAGTTGAATCAGAAAAAACTATGGTAATTTAAAATCCAGGCTTTGGTTCAAATGAGTGAATTTTGATGAAAGCAAATACATGACCAGAACTTAAGAATGGTTGCTGTATACACAATGTTATATTGTAATGCGAATAATTCCATAAAATTAATCGTAAAAGGCTTGGGTAGTTTCACAGACTGTGTATGGAGGTGAATGACACTCTCAGTGTCACAAATATAATTATAGTATTTATGTAACACTTAAACATCATGATTTCTTTTTTTTTTTACTGTTTCTTATTATAGTGTATGGATATTATCTCACCTATTATGGATATTTTCATTACAAATAAAATACAAGTTCTATTTAAGTTATAATTGCACCAAGAGCTTTTAGCTCATCTGGGTTAATGATATCTATTATTTTATTTAATCACACTTCATTTAAAAATAATAATTCATTCATTACCAAAAATAAATCTTCTATATTTTTGAAGTTAAAAATTTTTTACCAGAATAAATTTCTTTTTTTATCATTAATGATAAATTAATGAATATTTTCAGTGCTAATTAATATAAATGATTATTGATATTTTTATATTTTAATCCCTTATTGGTTGTACATAAGTAATTTTTATATTGTATAAATATAATATTTTATTATATTTTGATATTTATTTTTAAAGGAAAGTGGCTAAGATGTTTTTTACACCTGTAAGTTGTTAAACATGGGAGGCTTTGGTTTCTGTAAGGTTATTAGATGCTACATGTAATAATGAGTTTTTAGTGTAAATGAAGATAGTGTATGTATGGTAATTTAGAAATGACAATAAAAGAGAAGGTAATATTTTGTTTGTAAATAGGCTGAATGCTTGTGAAAGAAATAATGTCACAGAGGTTGGCAAAAGTGTTTGGGCTGAGTTTCTTCAAAGAAGAAGATTGAAAGATGCTTAATACCATTCATCACGGGCATTCTGATCACAATACTGATAGAAATACACATATTGACAGTGTTATTTTAGCCTTGTACTTACTACTGAGGAATGTATGGAATGTATTTAGTTGTACAGCAGCTCATTTTGAAGTTCTTATTGAGACCAGCTGTTAGCCACTGATAATCATCTCTCTTCTCTTTGACTTTATATGTTGTATTCCACAGCTTCAAGATATTATGAGGGTGAAAATTTGGTTGATTTAAATGGAAAAAAAATCAGGGTTGAGCATTTGACCTGTCAAACAAATTTGTCAGTTGACCGGTCAAACATTTTATTATTTGTTTTTTATCTTAACTTTATGTGTTGACTTTTCCTCAATATGTATAATGTAAATGAAATGAAAATTTAAAAAAAGAACCAGTTTATAGTTTGTCTCCAGCCTTCTGATAACAACAAAGCTAGTGCTGCATTTTGAGGTTGGGTATCATAAATAAATATTATAACCAGTTATTATAGCATCAATTATCGGATTTTTTAGTAATATACCATTATTATGAAGTTATATTGGAAGTTTTAAAAACATCATAGTTGTTGACTGCATAAAATTGTATAATGTCACTCACCTATAAAAGTTTCAGTATGTAAAGAGCTGGGACTTATTAAAGTCATGCATTATGTAGTCTATTGTTTGAATTGAATGAATACTCCCTCATTTTGAAGTCCATTAGTAGGAATGTAATTCCAGACTGACTACATGTAAAGGGGTGGACTTTGAGGCCTAAAAATTAATAAAAAATGTATGCTAATATGAACATACTTGCATAATGTAATAAATGTTTTAGATAATTCAGTCAGTGTGACTAGTAAAAACATCAGCATTCAATTGACCAGTTAGTTGAATGACTTGCCAATCCTGGAAAATATTTCAATGAAGCTAATTGAAAAGGGTCACATTCCTTTTGAAAAAGATGAGAAGGAGAATTGAATTATTAATGAATGAAAAAGACCAAGCTTATAAGGATATGAAAATATACTAGTTGAATGAAGGATACTGAGGTGTAAGGAAGAAAAAAAATGCAAGGCATCCATTGTTAAAGCTAAGCAAGATTATGAAAGTTTCTCAGAATAAAATATTCAATTTGACTTAAACATTTTCTACAAATAAAGGAGTATAATATAATATTTGTTTCTCACTCTTTCATTTCTAGTAGATCAAGAAATAGTGTGCAGGTGCCTGAGGATTAAGGAGTTGATAGTTACTCCTATTTTTGAAGTGAGTTTTAAGAGTTGTCAAAGAAATCATAGACTAGTTTGTCTTCTTTCTGTAGTGGGAAAATTTCAGTTTGATAAAAAAAAAAAGCTTTGCAAAATAATCTGGTGAAAACATCATAAAAGAAATATCAACATGGATTTATTCTGTTACTAACCTGTTAACTTTTGTTGTTTTTTTTTGAGGATGTTACTTGTTAATTGGATAATGGAAAGGGATTTTCAAAAAGTTTTTAATAAGATATTGCATAAACAATAAGATAAGATCACATTGGTGGGTGTTGGGGGAAAGATTAGTGAATTGGATTATAGAATGGCTGGATGAGAGAGACAACAAGTTATTAATGTAGTCCAGTCAAATGTGGCTCTTGTTACTAGTGTAGTGCCTCAGCTCAGGGATCGATACTTCAGTCTTTTCTTATTTACATTAATAATATTGATAAGGGCATAATTAGTAAATTAAATTTGCAGATGGCATTCAACTCTTGGATATTTCTAATTCTATTAAGGATGCTGAGGTACTACAGAATGACCGAGATCAGTTGATAAGCTGAAAAAATACTTAGCAAATGACCTTTAATTATGGTAGATGCAAAGTAATTTGGGTTATAATATGGATCATACATTTGCTATAGGTGGGAACCCATTCAGTAGTGTGACTGAGGAAAAGAATCTTACTGTTAGTAGTGGATAAGTCACTCAAGCCATCAAGGCATTGTTCTGTTGCTAGTAACAAAGCTAATTGAAGTTGAGTGTGTACTTACAGATATGTTGATTACAAGTCAAAAAAGGTAATAATTTTAAACAAATTTCTAGTTATATCTCACGTGGAATACAGTGTATCATTTTGTTCTCCTTGTCTAAGAAAGTATATTCACTTACTGGAAAGGATTTAGAGGTCAGCTACAACAGTGAAATGATTCTGGAGATGGAAGAGTTACGAGAATAGGTGATGATTTATTTTCTCTTGGGAAAGAATGGTGAGAGATGACCTTATTGAAGCTTACAAGATTATCTGGGTGGATCAGCATGATGAAGGGCTCTAATTTCTTTGTGCTTTTTTTCTGGAGACAACAGGAAAAAAGGACACAACTTTAAAATTTGAAAAAAAATAGTCTAGGCTGTAGTTATGACAGTTTTATTTTTATAACAGGATAATTGGCTTATACAGTGAGTTGCCATTGACAGTTGTGGAAGTTGGTGCTTTACAAAGCTTAAAAATAATGGGTGGGTTTTACTGTTTTACATGGGTTGATGTGCAGGTGACAGCCCTGAATAATCCAAAGTTTCCTTGTTACCTCCCCCACCAAAGGTAGATAGAGGTTATGTTTCGTTCCCTTTAAAACCTCATAACAACATAAAAACATAGGAACAACCAGAGGGGCACTCAGTAAAGCTCATACCTCTGCCAGACAGCATTGATTATATTTGGCTCTCAAAAAATATTAACGTGTCCGTATATCTGTTTTCAACAGACATGGACCATTTTTGGCAGGACAATGAGGAATAATATTCTACATATGT